TGTGGAAGAGGACGCCAGGGCGGCAGAATCTTGGTTTGGTGTAGAAGGCTTACAGCCGTACATGTTTGAGCCCTTGCCTCGCAACGCTGCAAGTTCTGTTAGCTCTACGCCTGCTGAAGACACAGACGTCCATCCCCGTGAACACTGGGACGGAACTCAATGGGAAAGGAAATGATTCTTACTTCTTATTTCAACCATTGCGTATATTAGCTGCGACATATGAATCAAGATGCTATGACCAACAAAAATGTGATTGACAGAGGACAGCTGATATATGATTGGCCGAATTTTGGTGTTGAAGCTGACGCATAACTAACTGGCCTGCAGAAGATGACGGTAAAAAAAAAAAAATAGATTTTAAGACAGGATTTTTTTTTTTTTTAATAGAATTTTTTTTACTTCTGGGACAATAATGTCGGATAAGAGTTAATTTATACACGTTTAATCCAGAATTATTTGACATTTAAATATGTTTTCCCTATGAATTTAAATTAAAAAAGATATTTACTTTCAGTTAAGGGAAAAAAACATCAGGGAAGCAAGAAGAGCCTGTGTTAAAAAAAAAAAAAGGAAAAAGCCACTTTAGAAGTGAAGGTTATCTCATGGAGAAACCATTCAAGTCCTGTCAGCACATGATTTTCTCTCTGAACCAAGGGTAAGATAGGAGGATAGGCCCCAGCCAAGAACCTCGAGCTTCACACAGTCTTTAACACTCTTATTCTTAACTTAAAAAGGAAGTACTTATTAAAGTGAAATGAGTAAAGTACGTTATTTCTGTTGTGGGAAAAAACACTTCAGAAGAGTTGACCATATATATATATATATATATGTATATATATTTTTATTTTTTTTCTTCATAATATAAAGTTTGGGTTACAGCTTTGAGGTTCACAACAGAAAGCATGATTTGTACCACAGCTAATTAACCGTCAAACCAACGCCATTAAAGATGGCTTCTGGATGAGTTCAAACTGCGTTTTAAGGTCTCCATTTCATATTAAGTACTTCTGATCAAACCTAAACAGTTTCTTTCAAACCAGTAAGATTTTGTTTGTCAAGTTGCAAAACACAAAAAAAGAACATTTTATGTTTTGTTTTTTTACACTTTACCAGTTTAAAATAAGAATTCATTATGCAAACATAGAAAGATTGACTGAAGTATCTGGATCTGGATTAACGCAAAAATGTTGATTTAACACACTTTCCCTTGGTCACCATGGCTTAGTTTTTAAAACTTAAACCTCAAATCTTGTCTGATCTCCTTCCTGTAAACCGAATATCATTTTGGAACTTCTCACATGAGCCGATTGTACCTGAAAACCAAACCAATCCAACTCCAATCCAGCTAAATCCAAAAAAAAAGCTGTAAGGTCCAGTTTTGATGTTAAATACAGCAGGCAGGGTTCTAAGGTTACTGCTTAACACGGAAAGAGGAAGCTGTCAATCATCAGCTTTGTACCCATTTCATTTATTAATCAATTTTTTTTTATTTAACTTGCTCAAAAGTTAAAGCCAAGACACGATTATGAGAAACAAACATCCAAAAAACACTAGCATGTAAAAAAAAACCCAAAAAAGTCATCAGTTTAAGTCTTAGATAAGTGTCCTTATTATATTTACCTGAGTTCATTTCCTCTTTTGATGTGAAGAAAAAATAGCCATACAGACTGGAACTTCTCATTCTTATTATCTCAAGTTATGTTCAACGAAAACTCTGCTCTAGATCTGCCATCTAAAACAATGCAAGAGCCTTTATTCTGCAAACTGAAAGGCAACCAGGTCAAATAGCTGTTAAATACAGCAGCAACTATAGCAGAACACCCACATAGAGCCAAGCAGCGCTTCTGTCGCTGATAGGAAGCAGCCAGCTTATGAAAACACCCTAAACTCTCCAAACAGGGACGTAAATAAGTAACAATCGTTGAAAAGAAGTAAAGAAAGTCTTTTTTTAGTAGATTGACGAAGCAGCTGCCTGTAGCTCTTACCTGAGTGCTGAGGCTTGCAAGTCTGATGGAAGGACGCCTCTCTGTCTCTGTGGATCTGCAGAGAAACAGGAAGACACTGAATCAGCCTCATCAACATGTGATCGTCACCCACAAAGAAATAATGATGCAGAACGACATGTCTGTTAAGAAGTGCTGCTCTGTGTCCAGAACAACACAGAGAGCCAACGGCGCGACCACTATTATAAATGCTGGGGTGTCGGCGGGATCTAGAAGCTCCTCTCAGGCTTCATTTTGCTCACAGAGGAAGTTACTTAAAAAAGAAAAAACTATTCTCCACATACACACATGCAGCTTTTAAGATATGTCAGATTGGCAGTAAACTCAGGACATTGTTCTGCTTCCTCTATGCCCTTACTGTCTATCTAGCAGTGGGTGTGAGCATGTGTGTAACAATGAGGGAGCAGGTTTTAGCAGAAAGAGCCACAGGCAGCCTAATCACCACAGCTAAGGCAAAAGCTTTAACAGTTTGACCTAAGCCGCTCAAGTGTGAACATTACAGAGCCTCAGAGAAGCTCTATACGTCTTAATAAACACTATCAACGAGTTGGAGATAAAACTGTTCCCATTTAAATCGCTCCCTCACATAAGCATCATGAAATCGCCTTTTTTCCCTGTTTATTAAAGCCACGTTGCCAAAGGTTGTTAAGCTGAGAGCTACATAACAACAAAAGCCTGGCCTGTGATTCTATATGTGAGAACAGAGGCTCATTTAACTGTTCTTTTTTTTTTTATTATGGTGTTTTCCTTTGCTTTGTTCCAGTCTTTCTTTAGCTCGTTTCCTCCCCTTCGTAATTCACCCTATTGAACTTCCACCCCCAGTAAGCTCACGCTAACTCTGGCTCAGATCAACAAGCTTCAGATTTAGCCTTTAAACATGGCTGTTTCAGATCCGTACAAAAGGGATCTTAAGTTGGCATAAACAGGCTTAAGATCAGAGGGCAATGTCTTTTTTTCACCTAGTAAACAAAGGTGTCAGATCAGGTTTCCCTGACTGACTGTTTGCACGCCAAGGACTCTGGGACCTTTCATGGAGAGATTTTCTGTCTCCCCAAAAAGGGAATTATTTGGGGACTTTTTCTCAATTCCTCCTTGATCTAGATTCTCTAAATCTATTCTTGATTTAGAGAATAGTGCCTGATGTTACACAGCATGCAGTTATTGGGGTAGTACGGCAAACAACTGTTGTTTAAAGTAAGAGCGATGGAGGAAGATGGGAGGCAACATAAGGAAACTCTGAGACAGTTTAGGACTAAAAAGCAGCTGTGTGAACAATAATGTAAAGATTGCACTGATACGCTTCATGCAGTGATTTTAATCCCCTTCCTCTTAGAGGATGTGAGGTATAATCATGACGGCGCCCTGAGGCACTCTTATTAAGTTGGTGAGGGTTTTTGTTTTAGGGGCTTCCCTGCTATCAGGCGAATCTGTTGTTGAAGAGAGATTTTCAAACTAATATGGACGAACGTCTCCGATTCGTGCACCATACTTCAACACTTTGCTCTCAAACAGGACAAAGATCTCTAAATGATCATGCAATGCACAACTTGTTAAGTCCAGCAACTTAAACTAGTGTTTAACCTTTATAAGAAAGTGTCCAAATGGCGCCAAATAGAACATGAGCATAACCTTGATATGTTGACACAAGTTAAACATTA